CATTCAAAATTACTTTAAATTACAAACAAAATCACTGACAATTTTTTTTTGCGATCGTTGCTCTTGCCCGGCGGGCAAATGCAACGATCGCAAAAAAAAAAAAAGATTTATCATTCAAAATTACTTTAAAATCACTGACAAAATCACAGACAATTTTTTTTGTGATCATTGCACTTGCCCGGTGCGCAAATGCAATGATCGCAAAAATGTTTTTATTTATCATTCAAAATTACTTTAAAATCCCTGAAAAAATCACAGACAATTTTTTTTTGCGATCATTGCATTTGCCCGCCGGGCAAGTGCAATGATCACAAAAAAACAAAAAAAAAATTATCACTCAAAATTACTTTAAAATCACCAACAATTTTTTTTTGCGATCATTGCACTTGCCCGGCGGGCAAATCCAATGAGCGCAAAAAAAAAAAGAAATTATTTATCATTCAAAATTACTTTAAAATCCCTGGAAAAAATCACAGACAATTTTTTTTTGCGATCAAGTGCAATGATCGCAATGGGGGGTGGGAAGTGGGGAGAGTTGGGGAACGTTGTACGCATACATCTTCTAAAAATAATATAAACTTAAGAAGAAAAACAGGAATCGGGCAATTAATAACGGTTCATTGCAAAAGAAGAATCAATAAACGATGAGTCATCGAGGATAGAAGAGCTTCAGAGACCAAAATTTAATTTAATCCAATCCAAAAAACACTTTAGTGATCTAGAAGAGAAATTAAATGTTGGCTATTATTTAAATATTAAAAAAAAAATACTATTTGGTGATAAAAACAATGTTACTCGAGAAAGTTATGGAAACGGTTTTCATATTTCTTCCTCTAAGGTGCAGAAAATCCCAAATCATTTAATGAATCTGGAGGAATTAGAGGAAGCATCTGTTTTTCCAGGAATATCTGTCTTTTTTCCCACCAAAATAATGAAAAAAAAAAACAAATTTAAAAGCCAGGTTAGAGGACTGGGCTGATCTATAGTGAGAGGAGAACACCGCAAAAATTAGAAACCAGAGGAAAAACAGATGATCTTCAAATAATTTTCCCGCAAGGATGGGAGAAGGTAATCGCAATCCCCGAGTTTGGAGCAGGATTATAAACATGACAAAGTGAGGAAAAGCTTCTTAAAAAAAAACTATTAGGAATATTTTTTCTCAATGAAATTCAAATATTAAAGAAAATTGACAAATAAAAACAAACATCTTTAGTCCAGAAATCAAAGCAGAAGCAGAATCAAAGCAGATGTGTCAGTTTGAAACCTGGACAGAAACACTGACCCCTTTCACTCCTTTCAGGTCTCCTTTCAGCAGACTGTCCAGAGGAAACGTGATGATGTTGTTCATGTTCTGCAACTGCACAGACAAAGTCAAGTTAAATAAACTGCAGGTCTAAAGTGAACGCCAAGCATCCCTTCATTTATTTATCCAACCAGTTGATACAGCAGAGGATGCAAGCAAGCAGTTTTAATGAGAATAAAGCATCCAGATGCTTTCAGGCTCACCAGGTTCTTAAGGAGCGCCGCCAGCTCTTTGGTGAACACGGCGAACTTGAGGAAGGCGGCACCGAGCTCTCCTTCCACATCATTCATGTAGTTGGAAGCAAACTTCTCCATGGACTGGACATACTGCTCCTCGTTCTCCACGTGAGCTGCGGCACAGAAACACCAAGAACGTCACAGTCGGCACCACAAACGGCAGAAAGACGACGGGAGCTTCGACCGAACCAGGAGGATTCTCGAAGCTGAAGACATTTAAAGATTCTAAAGCAGGAGATTCAATTATAAGGTCAAAAGTAGTGTTGCACCGATGCCATTTTTTAGCCAAGATACCGAACCTGGCTGTGCAGTAAAGGCCGATACCACCTGTTTAAAATTGATGTGTGTGTGTATCTGAAGAACTACAGACTACTTGGATGTAAACTCATTGCCATCATAGCTTAGTCAAGCTGCTGACTACCTTTTTATTGCATATCTGGAATCGGTGACAATAGTTGAAGAAACTTTTTGCTCTCAAAATGGTATCAGTGCCTCATTTTTCGGTACTCGCCGATTCCGATACCACCATTTTAGTGCTGGATCGGGGCCCCGCCTGATGCTGGTATCGGTATCAGGGCAACACTAGTCAAAAGTGCAGATAATATTTAAAAATCTAACTTCTATTAAAGTTAAAATCAAAAGAAAAACACTTCAAATCTGTATAACCTTTTAAATAAAACCAGCATCTGATATTTAATGATTGGGGTCATCAACGTGGTGCCTGAAGGCAGCAAGGGGCCCTCATATGGAAGAGGATTAGGGCCACTGAAAAAAAAATTAAAAAGTTAACTGATTTTTAAATTTATTTCAGTTTAACATGGGAAAAAAGTCAGAATTTTGACTTTCTTCTCAGAATTTTGACTTTTTT